CGTCAGATTCTTACAGTCCCACTGACCGGGTAAGAATCTGGAGGTTGCAGGTTCGATTCCTGTACAGGGTAATATTTTTATCCTGTTAGATCACGAGCTCTCTTTCTCCTACCAAGAGTTCCTTTGAATCTAGGTATATATCTTTTTCCGAATGTGAATATTTTTAACAATTACGGAACTGGCCATTAAGTACCAAATGTGCATATGCAGAACTATAGAAATTCAACGTTCGCATCCAAGATATGACTTGCCTATTATGGCTTTATCCTTTTGTCACTGTAATATGAGTACAACAAAAGTAAGGTGCCGTATGGCAATTGTCTAAAGACTTGAAAGTAGAACGTTACAACAGTGGTGTCATTGTTCGATATCCATCAGAATGTATGTGCTGTTTACCAAGCCTTGTTAGCTCAACGGTAGAGCGTCAGATTCTTACAGTCCCACTGACTGGGTAAGAATCTGGAGGTTGCAGGTTCAATTCCTGTGCAGGGCAATATTTTTATCCCGTTAAATCACAGGCTATTTCTCCTACCAAAAGTCCCTTTTGAGTCCCGTATGTATATATATCTTTTCCCGAGTGAAACACTTCTAACCGTTGTGGAACTAGTCATCAAGTACCAAACATGCATATGCAAAACTACACAGAAATTCAAAGTTCGGATCCTAGATATGACTTGGCCTTATGACTTTATTCCTTTGTCATTGTAAATACTGTTGTAATACGAAGTGAGTCTTTTTACAAACGGATAAGGACTGCAATACATGTATCGACCTTATATGTATACGCCTAGTAACTGCTTACTAATATAGGCATGTGGTCCGTGCTCCTTGTTGCTCGCATATCAGATTCCCAAAATCCAACAAATACTACTACAACAAAAGTAAAGTGTAGTATGGCAAATGTCCAAAGACTCCAACAGTGGTGCAATTATTGTCTCTTAAGCTTTGTTAGCTCAACGGTAGAGCGTCAGATTCTTACAGTCCCACTGACCGGGTAAGATTCTGGGGTTGCAGGTTCAATTCCTGTGTGAGGCAATATTTTTATCCCGTTAGATAGCGGGTTCTTTCTCCTACCAAGAGTCCCTTTTGAATCAGTTATATATATCTTTTTCTGAAAGTGAAATATTTTTAACCATTATGGAACTGGCCATTAAGTACCAAACATTCATATGCAGAAACTATAGAAGTTCAAAGTCCGCCTCCAAGATATATTGACTTAGCCTTATGACTTTATTATTCTCCTATCACTATAATACTAGTACAACAAAAGTAAGCTCCAGTATGTCTAAAAAATAGCAGACTCAAATACAGAACGTTACAATAGTGGTGTCGTGTCGTTGTTCAGTATCTGTTAGGATATGTCCTGTCAATCACACCTTGCTAGCTCAGTAGAGTATTAGATTCTTACAGCCCCTCTGACCAGGTAAGTGTCTGAAGGTTGCAGGTTCGACTCCTGCGTGAGGCTATGTTTTTATCCTGTTAAATCACAGGCTCCTTCTTTTTTTTCCTTTTTTTTTTTTAATACATTTGTGTACCGCATCGCATAATGTAGATACATTGTGGTTGGGAGCAGGTACTCTAATGGTAGGTGGATTGGTATGTAGGTACTGGGGCGAGTAGGTGTGGGTATGCAGGTCAAATGTAGAGTGAGAGAGCAAAGGAAAAAGAGAAAAGAAACTGAGAAAAATTGAGAGGGGCTACGTCTTGCCAAAGGCGTTTGAGGCGTCAATGAATTTTCCCAGAGCAGTGAGCCCTTTATGGGTTCTGAGGATGGTGGAGGGGACAGGGCCTGAGAGGCATTGATTAGGAGGTGGCGGTGTTCCTATTATAGAGGGCACTCGGTCAAGATGTGGAGGCGGACTGAATGACCGCTGTGCCACAGGGGCTCACAGGCTCCTTCTCTTACCAAGAATTCCTTTCCAATCAGGAATATATCTCTTTTTCCAACCGTGTGAAATATTTTTAACTTATGGCACTAGCCATTATGCATATCCAAAACTACATGAAGTTTGAATTTTGCATCCCAAGGTACATGTTGACTTCACCTTATGAATTTGTTGACGCAGGGTATAGTCGGTACAAGGGATTGGTCATGTGGGCATATTTGAAGTAACTATTTCACAGGTGAATTGATGCATTTGGTATTATTAAGTTCAAATTTTTTTATGCTTGTAGAGAAATAGAGGTGTGATAAAGTTGTCAATTAAACTGTATAGTGTGAATTCATTATTCAGTCAAGCCATCAACTCCACTCTTAGACACAACTCTTTCTTCATAGGATCAGCAACTTAATTTAGTATAAAGAAATAGCTCATCTTTATGGTGCTAAATATTTTGCTCGCCCCATTTGCATTGTGGGTCGATAGTATTTTTCATTTATTACAACACATTGAATCACCTTTCCGTTTATGTGTAAATATTGTTAGATTTTGAGCATCATCCAAGCTTATGTCTCACTTTTAAGTTCCCTTTGTTCATTTATCCATTGTTCCCCCTATTGCATATTTTAGCATTTCCACTGTCCCCATTGTCTTCCCTTCCTAGTATTCTATTATTTTTTTAGTTTATCTACATGCGAATATAGCTCCCTGCGCGATTGTGAGGGTCTTCTGCTACCTGAGTACATGATAGAGACATGCATATTTTAACAAATATTACATGGCAACTAACAGGTATCAACTAGTATAGTCCACTAGTCATCGCTGATCCTCGTGTGTCGGTCATTCTTAGACAATTGAATTATTGTCAACTGGTGAAGCTGACGACACCAACTGGTTGGCTGGGCATTCGGACTACAGAATATTTCACCGAGGTCACGGTTCAAACTGATCTGATATGCTGAACCCGCACCGTTACCCGTCCGTCCTGCTACATTCAAGGGAGCCATATTCAAGGGAGCCATGTTTAAAATCACGCCCGGTTTATTCCTAATTCTACAAAAAAGCAGAAACTCTAACTTGTAGAGAGCCACCGTCCCGCCGGTTCTTGTAATATTAGACAAAGTCATTGATTCAATGATTTGGGTCTAGTAATAAGTAGGTGAGCGAATTGCCTGCCCTTTATTACCACCACTCCCTGTAGCGATGAACATTATTGTAGAAGATGTTGCCTTTTCGGGGGAAATATGCTGCTAATGATGCTCTTGCATCTGCAATAACTATTCTACCAGTTCAAACTGAGATCTCAATTCACAGCAGAGCTACACAGGATACCCCACTAACTACCTATCCAGTATTACCGTCCAGGAGCCATCATACATATATATATGCAACTCTTTACAAAAATAAATACATTTAAATGGTTTGCACAACAACCACCGCCCCATGTGATCAATATGGCTGTGCAGTGATGCTGTAGCTTTTGGAGACTATCTATAAACTCATAACAGGCTGTAAAACGGCATCCGCAATCTACCTTCTCTCGTTAGTACTATTTTTATTTTTCCGTGGAAGGATCTGTTAGGAGCTGGGAGTCATCAAGAATAACTGACTCGACGACATTGGCTTTCTTGGTTTTAAGCAGCATTTTTCAGAAAAATAGTCAGCCATGCTCTTTTCACTTTTTTGTAAAAGATCTGTGGTTTCGTCTGGCCTTTTTGGAGTCTCATCTTTTGAACCACAGAAGCCAAGCCCACCACCGAAGCTGGATCCCAATCCAATAGGCTGTTCATATGGAATATCATTAGTCTCTTGGGCGACTCGATCAGCTGTGTTTGGGGTATTGGGGGGCGTGTCCTGCTTAGAAAAGGGAGTCGATGATGAATCTGAAGCCGCCATGGACAATGAGATGCAAATTTCATTCATGCCCGTGGTCGATGCAGCGGCCATACACTTAGATGCAAGATATCTAGCCCTATGGCTGATGGGACGAATAAAGTGAGCCTATGTGAGAGAGATGAGACTAGAATCACTCACACCCGATCGAAGGGCTTGCGCAGAATTTTGTCGTGTTCCAGAAGGGGCAGGAAACTTTCAAATTGAGGCTATATGTTGGCCATGATGGCTCCATGATCAGACATGCTTCGGGCTTGGGAATCCAAGGTCCGTTGAGGTGACCCGCTCTGGGAAGTGAATTTGTCTTCGAGGCTAGTGCCGTGCAGCTATCTCTGCTTTATCTCTGATTTACACACTTGGCAGGTGTGGAGAACGCACGACTGTTCTCTTTTTGTCTGGGCGATGCACGAAGGGACTTCCACTGTTGGCCTTGGCCGCTCGATAACTTTATTACTCTCCTTGAAAGCAATGTCCCTGAGAATATTTTTGAGCAATGCCTCAATTAGCTCACTCTATAGTGACGTGTAGAGTATCATTGAAGTCTTGCTGTTGTGTTTTGTTGACTTACGCAGGAGTATTCCAACTATACTTGCAATTAAGTACCAAACATGCATATGCATGACTACATAGTTTGCATGCAAGATATATTGGCTTGGTCTTGTGACTTTATCCTTTTGTCAGTGTAAATACTAGTACAACAAAAGTAAGCTGCAGTTTGACAAATGTCTGAAGACTCAAATGTATAACGTTACAACAGTGCTGTTATCGTTCAATATCTATTATAATGTATGCCCTATTCATCAAGTCTTGTTAGCTCAACGGTAGAGCGCCAGATTCTTACAGTCCCACTGACCGGGTAAGAATCTGGAGGTTGCAGGTTCGATTCCTGTATGAGGCGATGTTTTTATCCCATTAAATCACATGGGTTGTCTCTCCTACCCAAGAGTCCCTTTTGAATCAGGTATATATCTCTTTTACTGAGTGTGAAATATTTTTAAGCATTATTGAACTGAGCATTAAGTACCAAACATGCATATGCAGAACTATAGAAGTTCAGCGTTCGCATCCGGGTGTCGGCTTGGCCTTGTGGCTTTGTCCTGTTGTCACTAATATTAGTACACCAAAAGTCAGGTGCAGTATGGCAAATGTCTAAAGACTTAACTGTAGAACGTTACAACAGTGGTGTTGTTGTTCAATATCTATTAGAATGTATATCCTGTCAATCATGCCTTGCTAGCTCAATGGTAGAGTGTCAGACTCTTACAGTCCTTCTGACCGGGTAGGAGTCTAGAAGTTGCAGGATTGACTCCTGTGTGAGGCTACATTTTTTATCCCATTAAATCATGGGTTCCTCCTCTTGCCAAGAGTTCCTTTGACTCAGGTATATCTTTTTCCGAGCGTGTAATTTATTTTTGACAATTATGCTATAGAAGTTCGAAGTTCGCATCCAAGATGTATTGATTTCCCCTTATGACTTTATTCTTTTGTCACTCTAAATACTGTAAATACTAGTACAACAAAAGTAAGGTGCAGTTTGAAGACTTTACAACAGTGGTCTCAATGTTCAATATCTATTAAAATGTATGTACTCCCTATCAAGTCTCATTAGCTCAACGGTAGAGCGGCAGATTCTTACAGTCCCACTGAACGGGTAAGAGTCTGGAGGTTGCAGGTTCGATTCCTGTATGGGGCGATATTTTTATCCTGTTAAATCACGCGCTTTTTGAATTTTCCCCTCCCAAGAGTCCCTTTTGTGAATCATATATATCTCTGTTTCCGAGCGAGTGAAATATGTCTAACCATTATGGAACTAGTCATCAAGTACCAACCATGCATATACGAAACTACACAGAAGTTCAAAGTTCACATCCAAGATATGACTTAGCCTTATGACTTTGTCCTTTTGTCATTGTAAACACTAGTATAACAAAAGTAAGGTGCAGTATGGCAGATATCTAAAGACTCAAATGTAGAACTTCCAACAGTGCTGTCATTGTTCAATATCTATTAGATTGTATGTCCACTCATCAAGCCCTGTTAGCTCAGTGGTAGAGCGTCAGATTCTTACAGTCCCGCTGACCGGGTAGGAGTCTGGAGGTTGCAGGTTCGACTCCTGTGCGGGGCAGTATTTTTACCCGTTAAATCACGGGCTCTCCTACCAAGCGTCCCTTTTGAATCAGGTATATATCCCTTTTTCCTACTGTGAAATATTTTTAACCGTTATGGAACTAGTCATCAAGTAACAAACATGCATATGCAAAACTACACAGAAGTTCAAAGTTCGGATCCTAGATATGTTATGGCTTTATTCTTTTGTCACTGTAAATACTACTACACCCAAAGTAAGGTCCAGTGTCTAAAGACTTAAATGATGTAGAACGTTGCAACAGTGGTGTCATTGTTCGATATCTATTAGAATGTATGTACTTCTATCAAGCCTGTGTCCCTACATATGCAGTCCGTGAAATAGTAGCTTAATTCCTGAAACGCCCTCACCACGTTCAGGCACAAGGAAATGGAAGGCATATACGTATGTAGTTGTGAGGGTGATTGGCAGAGGCCAGTCCAGCCGATCTCCCTAAATGGCCAATTCGGACGATTAGCATAACATGTCTATCATGAATTGAACAAATTTATGGCATGCTTTTATGTAGAAAGCGGCCAACAAATTATTCTGCATACGATTACAACGAGAAGATTGATACATTTATTAGTTTATATCTAAGCAACGAAAAATGAAAGGAATCAAAAACCATCATTAGGAAATCCAGGTGGAAGAAAGACGAACTACGTTAGGGAAAGCAAGGTCGATACAAAACGAAGGGGTCGGAGGTCAAGGGAAAGACTAGCCCTTGCCTTGAACAACCTTGTTATTCTCCACAATTTCCGAGAGTTGGGCACCATGCCGCCTCGCCTGTTCAATTTGTTTTTGCAGGGTTCTGTACGGGGAGAAGGACAAATTGAGGTCGAGAATCGAGAGTAAACGACGAATAAGATAACTCACTTGACATGGCTATCGAGTTCAGCAATGCGCTCTTTGGCACCCTGCCTCTCTCTCTTGATTTTTTCCTCTGCGGTCTTCAACCGAGTCTCATACTCTTTCACTCGGGCCTCCCATTTCTGCTCTGCAGCTAAATGCTTCTCCACGAGATGAGCATTGGCTTCTTCGGCGGTTGCTAGCTGGTTCTGGCAATTGACTATACGACGCTCTGAATTCATGAATTTGGCCGTTGCGGCTCGTAATTCTGCATCTTTGGAAGTAGGCGATGCCTTGATGGATGTAAGTTGCGAACTGAGTGTGGTATTTGTAGCCTGCACTTGGGTATTTAAACCGATTGTAACAGGATAATGTGTAGAAACAAACCTTCAATGCCTCGAGTTCGCCCTCTTTCGCCATATATTTACGCCGCCAGGTATGTTTATTTTCCAGAGCACTCTTGACAACTTTCTCAAAATTGTCAATCTGTTTAGAATAATTATCTAAACGTTTCTTCACCCCTTGGTACTGTTCCATGAGGCGTGCTTCGGCATCCTTGGCGCGTTTGTCGAAATCCAGCTGTATCTGGCTTAGAGCTTTCAACTTGGAAATCAAATTGTCATGAAACACGTTGAAATTTGTGAAAGGCTTGGTTTCAGAGCCGGATTTCTTCTGAGTCGAGAGTAAATCTTTTTTTTTTTCGGGGTATTTATATAAGTTGTTGGACACACCGATATCCTGTCTACACCCAAAATCTTCTCCATATACTGATAAATAGTCAATAATAGGGTATTTCTCTCGGTCAGCTGATCCCTGAATTGACCCTCGTTCGCCAGTAATGCCCGCTGGTCCTTCGATAACCTCAACTCCAGTTCACTCACGCGAACTTTTAGGGTCCCCAACTCCCCCTCCGCCGCCTTCAGATTCACTTGAGCAGCATCAAGTCTTTCCGTGGCATTCAACCGTGCCTGTGTCTGCGTGGCAACTTCCGCAGCCAAGTCCCTATTCGAGGAATGAAGCCTGTCCAGCTGCGCCTCCCGGTCCCTGTTCTGTGCTTCCCGGTCTGCCAACTCGGCCCTTGCGCGGTTCAAGTCGTCCTCCGTTCTAGACAAGTCCCTCTTTAGCCGGTCGAGTTCTAGTTCTAACGAGAACTTGTCGTTAGTATGCGTTTCGCCTACACGCCGTGTTTCGTTCTCCATGTTCTGAACCATCGTTTGTAGATTCTGTAGATCTGCATCACGTTCTGCAAGGAGTGCTTTCTGGCGCGTAAGATTATCCAATGCAGCTCGGATTTCAGAGTCTTTCTCTTCGAGTAGGCGTTGATGACGGCGGGTGTCATCTTCACGATGCCTTTCAAGTGTGTCGAGACCATTTTCGAGCTGCTCGCGAGCGTCGCGTTCGGATTTAAGCTCTGCGGCGAGTGCCTCAGCGTGCTGGCCTAGTTCTTCTTGGCGCGCGCGGTGTGCGACTATTTCTCGTTGATATTGTTCGTAAAGGGCTGTCGATTCTTGCAACTGTGACTTGGTAGAAGCAAGTTTCTAAAATAACAGTGAAATAAGAACAATATGGATCAAAGGCCCAAACGTACCTCCTTCAACGCTGTCGCAACACTTTCCGCTGACTCACGGTCCACAGCCGCTTCTTCTCTAATCCGCTCGGTGTCTTCTTTAAGACGTTCCAATTCGTCTTCGAGATCCCAAACCTGTTGACTGAGTTTCTCGATGTCTTGATTCGCAGCTTTGACCTCCTCTTCCTTAAGGTCCACTGCGTCTTCGAGTCGACGAATTAAGTTATCTTGTTCTTCAAGCTGCCCACGAAGCTCTCGGAGTTCAGCATCATTCTCAGCGACGACCTAAACAGAGTAATCGTAAGAGATATAGGCGGTTTATCAAAGAATTTACACACGTCTCGTAGTTCATCGTTTTGGCCCCTTACCTCTTCTAACTCACCTCGCCACGCAGCTCCTGCATCGTCCAGTTGATGTTCATGTTCCATGATCAATTCATCAAATTCCCGACACTTGAGCTCAAGGTCATCCTCCCGCTGCTGCAGCTCTATCGTAGTTGCGGCGAGCTGATCTCGTACAGAGTTAAGATCCCCTTCAAGCGCATCACGCTCATCACGTTCTTCAAGCAGCTGTGTACGACTCTCACTCCTCTCGTACGATTCCGCCTCTCTCCGTCGTTCTGAATCCTCTAGTTCCAATTTCAAACGCTCGACTTCGTCCTCAAGCACTTCCTTTTCTTCCTCCCGATGGGAAATCAGCTGAAGATCCTCATCATGCTGTGTACGAAGGTCTTCGATCTCGTCCTCCGCTTCCGCCAGCTTTCGTTCTAATCTTGCTCGTCTGCTCTCCCCACCATCCGAAATTATCGAGACGTTGCCCTTTTGAACGAGCTCGTCCTTGAGACGGTCAATCTCATTCACGTTCTCTTCCATTATAGCCCTCATATTCTCAACCTGTTCCTCGAGCTCAGCATTATGAGCCTCGGCTTCTCTTAGGGCGCCATCTTCAGGCCCGACTGCACGCCGCCGCCTCAGCTCTCGTACTTCTCGTTCTCGTTCCGCTAGTGCCTCTTCAAGATCACGTTCGCGTGCCCTTGAACCACCTGCGCCCTTCTGCGCGACCTGAAGCTCCTTCTCAAGCTCAAGAAGTAATTTCTTGTATTTCTTAAGTTCTACACCGCGTGATTGCACTTCGATCTTCAAATTGATGTTTTGCTTGAAGGCAGCTTCAACATGCTCGGGTGCTAATTCAGTAAGTCGGCCCTCGAGAAAATGGACTTTGAGTTTGAGTGAAAAGTTCTCCTTCTTGAGCAGGTCGATGACCTGCGTTCACTAGTCAGAGTGTGTTATATAATGAGATTGCATACGGTATTCACCTTCTCCTGTTCCCTCAAGGTGAGATTCACCGCTCCCTTCCCATTGCTCACTCGTGGCATGGCTCTCGATGCTATGGGTGTCGCTGGTTCTTCCTTTAAATCTGGTTCGTCTGGATCATCTCCAGAAGGCAAGGGGCGCCTCATACCTAGCGGTGTTGCAGTTGTATCTGTCTTCAAACGGGGGCGCAGACTGGAACCACGCTGAGACGGACCCGGGGTAGAAGGGGGGTCGTCCGCAAGACTGCCTAACGAGATATCTGGCAGCGTCCCTCCTGATTCATTCAACATTCTTTCGGAAAGTAGTGACATTAGCCTAATAATGTTTGAATAAGTGGTGGATATACGTGAATGTAGCCATATAGTACCTAGTTGAGTATTACACCGCGTCTGCGGGCAATCTCGTTGAGTAACTAACCTTTAATTCACCGTAAAGGGAAGTTTTTTTTATTGTGAGCCCTTGTAGAGGTTCAATCATAAAGCAAGGCCTCCGCAGAAGACTGGAGACGTCTAGAAAGGTGGCCTTGAGGTTAGTTGCAGGAGCCCAAACAACACCAAATAACGCGTCGCGTGGTCCTGGGTTGTTCATGCATACGATCTACTAAGGTAGGTAGAAATATTTATTAAATTAAATCTCTCGACTGTCGAGTAATTGGGAATTAAATTTTTATGCCTTATCTTGAACTAGAATTGATGCATCTTCATTAGTTACAGGTGAGTCAGGGTAATAATCCATTTTCCATAAATGATACTCAGAAGAAACGGCAAGGAGTCATGTACAATGCCACATCAGGTGCGATTCGGCTCCGACAATTTCACCACTTGTATAAACTCTTGTAAGACAGAGTAGTCTACTCGCTTTGCTTTCAAGTATGTCGAAACATCATCCGGGTCAGTGTACTTATCAACACTTAGTATTAGTCTCCTGACTAACGATATCAACAGACCTCATCATGTGTCGTCGCCAGCCAGGCATAGGTGAGCATGTTGTCATTGATAGTCGATCCCCCACTCACCTCATGGTCGAAATCAGGCATTGGAAGGGTATGTGATAAATGTGACGGTAGATGGTAAGCATATAAACCATACCAGAGCTATCTACATTTATTTAACAAACTTTGCCAGTCCCCTATGTGATTCGTCTGTTAGAGCAGAAACGCTGGTTCGCATCTGCGATGAGTGTAACTTTGGAACTAGCGGTGGAAAGTGCATCGTCTGTAACTCACCAGGTACGTTTGTATGATGCCTTCATTAGCACGGTGGCTAATA